TATAAAAACAGAATTGTCTGCGTGACATGGAGTGGCTCCCATTGTATAGAACAGAATAATGCTGAAAAATTTCTCTCCTCTTCCTTGCCCTTTTGATGACAGATAGTTGGCAGTGGATCAAAGGAAAAACAGGATTAATGTTTTGCATATTCTGTCCTACATGGCCTGGAAGGAGCAGGGATGGAATTTTTCATCTTTCACTTTAAACTGCCTTTAATACTGTGGCCTAGTTAGAGCTACACGACTCATTCCTTCCGTTTCCCCCGAGGCCTCTGTTTCTGGTCAAGGAAAGCAGGGCAGGACTCCCTCTGGAGCACATCGGCACCGCTCGAAGCGGCTGGGCTGGGTCTGGAGCAATCCAGCATCAGGAATCTGAGCAGCATCTGCAGAAGCTGCTGGATCCTCACGGCTATTGCTCTCGTTCCAGCGTGTGCTGCAGGACGAGGAGAGCACGGGGGCCACAGGCTGAAAAGCTGCAATGTGTCACTAGCCCAGGTTGCATCTCCAGATGGCCCCTGTTCCAGGGTCTGAGGATGCTCTCTGGTCAGACAATCATCATGCTCCTTCTCATTGCCGGTTGCCTTTTACTAAAGATCTCCATGGAAAGAAATGTTGATAGGTTTTGATCCACTTTTTGGCTGATGAGTTACCACACTGCAGCAATGCTTCCCGCCCTTGGGGAATATACGGAAAAATGGCAAGAAAACCTGAAGCTGCTTGGTTTAGTAGTCATTTCAGTGCTGAAGTCGTTCCCTTCAGCAAGGGAAATGCACTTGACCATGCGCTGGCCATGTCTTCTCTGTCCTGCCCTCCCCTCTAGTGGGGTGACTTGTCATTGCAGCCTACTTTTGGCTGGCAATTGGGGAGGGTGGTGTGACTTTTTGCAGTTGCAGGGTTATATACGGACCAGAAGTGCAAAAGCCCTTGGATAGGTGTGGTATAAACTGGATGGCAGCATCCAGTGTGCAAGAGGGAAGCCAGTAGTGGTTAGGTATGGGGAACAGGGGAGCATTTCAAGCAGCTCCTTTCATACTGAAGCCCTTCTGTCTGTGAGAAAGTATGGGATGCATTTGCAGAGGGGTCCTTGGAAGATGGTTAGAGGCATATTTTAGTGTTCAGATACCTGAGTCTCAGGTTGGAAAAGCTCCATGGAGAAAAATGGGCACTTGACTAAGGTTCTGTTTTTGTAGATACAGTCAGGTCTGTTGTGAATAGCTGCACTTCTGACACGCATCCGCCATGTTTATGCTAATATTAGAGATTTTCTCAGAGCTTCAGATGGTGATTGATGGGTCATGTCTAGCCTCCTCCACACCGAGCTCTTGAAGGATGAATTTTGAGTGGAGCTAAGATAACAAGGGGCAAGTTTCAGGATCTTCTTCTGTTCGTGGGTAAGATTTTTGCTAATAGGATACCCAACTTGCCAGTTGCTGTGACCAGGATCTCCTCGGCCCATGAAACAAGGCTTTCATTTTAATACAGAAAATGCTGCTTGCATAGCTTGGGTTACTCAACAGCACAGCAGAGACTTCCAGTGCTCCTTTCAGTTCCTTTCTGTTATCTTGGGTTTGAGGAACCCGTTCTCTAGCCAAACATATGCTCTCGAGCTGTTCTGACTTGTTCGAAAACAACTATCACGTCTTTAGCTACCCTGCATGCAGTGAAACCTCTTTCTCCTCTCCGATAGCCGCTCCTGCACGCTCGCACATCTTGTCAACCCACAGGGAACGTATTGGAGCTCAAGTTCTGGCAAGATCTGAGAAGTTCCAGGGATAATCAACACATCCGCAACAGCGGATCAAAAGGACTTGAGATAGGCTCTTTTGAACTGTTTTCTTATCTATGTGCGTAGCTGGGGCTGGATCTTGTCTTGCTGATGTAGTTGAGGACACGTAGCATGCTGAGTGCTTAAGGTGGTGCGGCGTTCTGGATGAGAGGCTGTGGATGGTTCTGTCTTTCCTAGGTTTGTGTTTGTCATCCCCATCCAACGCCATCCTAATGCTGTGGGGTCATTGCCTCAGGTCAGGCAGCCCGGAGCGATGGAAATGGGGCAAAGCTCATGGTGGTAATGCAATCCCAGTGTCTGCCCTGGTTTTGCGGAGCCAGTTGCAACAGAGGGGCCTTTGCTCCCAAAAGGAAGGGCAATCGGCTCTGTCCTTTCTGGCACTGCCTGGGGGTGTTTAACTGCACCATGTACCTCTGCTGTAACTGCTGTGGTGCTGAGGAGGTGGCCCGAGTGATTCTGTGAATGAGATATCCTTGGGCTTGGGCTGGGCTGGGCTGTGCTGCAGGACACTCCGATGCTGCTGCTTCATGGCCGAGAGGGACATGGTGCAGGCTCAGGACTCAGAGCCACCTTCTTCACCGCAGTGTTTTTCACTCCAACCCACTGGGAAGCATCTACACTTCCCAGAACTGGGTAGAAGCCAACTGTATGCTCCATTTGGAGAAGTGCTGGTGCCTGGGATCACAGGTAATGCATTTAGGGGAAGGGGAGCAAGGCCGGGAGGTATGTGAAACATTTTGGAATGCAGACTTCGCTTGTTCTAGAAATGTTCTAGAAATACACCAGGAGGTATGTGAAGCATTTTGGAATGAATCAGACTTTGCTTGTTCTAGAAATGTTCTAGAAATACTTGCTATTTTCTTGCAGTTTCATGCAGTTAAGCACTAGCAAATTCCTTCCTTTAGCGAAGTTAGTGCTGCGTATTTAAGGCCTTATTACCACCTGTCAAGCCAAAAGAGGACAAAAGCAAAGTGAGTGACATGGTCTATTGAGTAGCTACTGCCTGGAAGGTGTTAAACAGCACAGTCAAAACACAGGCAGCCTTTGACTGCCCTTGGAGCACAGATTGCCAGGACAGCTGTCCAGTGTCTGGAGCTGTGGACAACAGTCTGGTCCAGATGCAGCCTGAGCCAGTGCGGTTATTGCAAAAGGTTGAATAATAGAAAGTGACTGCGCTCCCCTGGATTCCTTCTGTAGCAAGGCAAATCTGGGGTCTGCAGCGCGGAGCATCCCGGCGTGTCCGGCCAGGCAGCGCGCGCAGCCGGCCGAGCCTCTCCGGAACGAGGGCCCAGCTCCCCGGAGTGCAGGAGCTCCTCCGCTGGCCGCCCTTGGTCTGCACGTTTCATCCCTTCCAAACGATGCTGCGACTTGTTTGCCTTTAACTGTGGAATTCCCTGGGGCTGCCTGTTTGATGGGGAAGGGTCTGCTGCTCCCTTATCGAGTGGCTGAAATGCTCAGCTAATGTCAAGGTGTGATGAGTGGAAGGTATTTCTGCCAGCTCTTGCTTGTTGTAGATGGTCTGCAGGTTTTAGCTTGAATTTTTTGTTGCAGGTGGCTCCACTGAACTACCTCATGTTCTTGTTCTAGTTCTGTTCTTTGAAATACAGCACCTGTAGTAAGCGTATTTTTTTCTTGATATCTTCATATCCAGTAGATTCAGATCCTTTAAATATGAGGTACTGACGTAAACTACCCAGCAGAAGCACCTGCATGTCACTGTGTATTAAATAGTGAACTGAATAGGAGCATTTCAGACAATAAGCACCAATAGCATAGACGCTGCTTCCTGGCAATCTTTTGAACTGTTTATGCAGTTATCTTACGGAAACTTAATTTTTCCACTCCTCCCCTTTTCTGAGCTTGACGCTTAAATGCGTCAGGCTCTGTATATTTTGTAAATGTGCCTAATTTCTGTCTCTCCTGTTGCTTCATTTCCTCTCCTGCCCCTGGGTGGCAGGTCTGTACATGCTCTTTTTGGTGGGACCGAGCAAGAAGCATAGGGGTGCGTAGTTCCTCTCTCCCTTTTTTCCACCAATTCCATTTAGGATTGACATTTATCTCCTTTCCCATCCTTCCCCTAGCCCATGAAATCTCTCCCCCACCTTTTCTTGTTTTCCATCTGTGCGTCATGGTGTGTAATCACAGAAAGCAGCATGTGCATGATGGGGCATCCTCAAAAACGCTTGGTCGAGGAAAGCTGAAGAGGAAGAAAGTTCTGAGCAGTCCTGTACAGCCGGGGAAGAACTTTACTGGGATCTGTTGCAAAGGTAGCTGGGCAAAGTGAGATGACAGGGTGCTCGTGTAAACGGCCTCTTTAACTTCAGCACCGGGTGAAGCATGGTTGTTTTCGGCTGATGTTTTGCCTTCAGAATTCAACCTGTCCTTTAGGTGTTTGCAGAAGGGCAACTGGAGACTCCCTTTTCCCCTTGCTTTGCTGTTTCAGAAGCACAGTGGAAGTGCATCATCTTGCATTTGCCTTCAGGAGTCTAATAAACTGATTCTCCAGTTCAGGAGCAATGCACAGCTACAGAATATAGTAGTTCACTGTATGACTGCATGATCCAAAGCTTGCCAAGGTCTTCACTAACAAAAGGTCTGTCTTAACCTTAAAAGATGATGTGAAAATGACAAACATAGCATGGCCCCACGCTCTGTCTTTCCCTTTTGGGTTGGCTCTGTGCAGCTTCTGCTGGATTGTTCTTTGCAGTCAAACGCTCTCCCTGGATGTGCCCCGTTCTGCAAAAGGGATGCCCAAAGCAAAGGGTGTTCACTCCTACAGACCAACATAAATGTGTGATTATGTTTTCACTGATAAAACGGATCTTACCCCCCATTTCTAGCTATTTCCTAGTAATACATATGTAAATGTACTGCGAAGTGGAATTAATTGCTCAAGATCTCTCTGTCGAGTTATCGCTTTGGGCTTTAGTAGGTAAGCCCAGTAAAATTCCACAGCACGTTAGAGATTGTGCCTATTCATTTTGCATCTAAAGCAGCGTAGTATGTCAAATTTCCACTTCCTAATCTATCTGCATTCACCCAAGCCCATTTGGCAGGTTTATTACTTGCTGGTTTGGTGAATTCTTCAGTTTGATTGCTGACACTGGGATATCAATGAATATACTATAGATATAAAAGATTTAAAAGGAATTTTTTTCTCTCTCTCTGCAAGAAGTAAGCTAAGTGTTTGGCTCCTGGCCCTCCTTGTTGGCAGGGGTCACTGCAAGGCCATGCAGAAGCATGCTAAATCCTGCAGTGACAAAATTCCTAAAAGGGTTTTGAGGGAACATGAAATGGCAGCAAAGTGGAAGGTGAGTCCCTGTGCGATGAGGACTGTATGCAGAAGCAGCAAGAGTTTCCCTTTGCCTTCTACAGTCAAATCAGTGAAATGCAAAAGTCTTTCGGATTCGGCTTATATTAAATAATATTAACTTTTTTTTTTCTCCTCTATACAGGAGGCAGACAGTGGGGAAGAAGAATGCCGGTCCCAGCCCAGAAGGTAAGAATATGACTTGGGGCTTGCGGGATGCTTGTCGTGCTGTAATGCCCCACAGCTGTGCTTTAAACCCACCCAAACATGCATCATTTCTGGCTACTGCTAATCTTGCAGAATTTTGTCTTGACCTTACTGAGAAACTAATATGTATAACCATGACCTAAATGATGCCCCAGAAAAGGGTTTGCTGCAATGGGGTAAAGTCTAGTGAATCACACACGCAAAACATGGGGACAATTCACAGAGGTGTCAGGTAATGTCTACTCCAGTTGTTACTTGCATCCAAGAGATGGTGTCTCACCTGTGGTTGTGTTATGAACAGGATGGTGATACTGCACTTCTGTGTCTGGAGACTTTGCTTTTGCTGCAGGTTGTTTTGTTCCTCCCCTGCTGTCATGTGTGTCACTCCTTAGGACTTGGCCCATCAGCAGAAGGGCTGCGAGTGGAATAGCTGTATCACTCAACTCGTGTTCCCTGGCTAAAATGTCTCCCTGTTGCCATTAAGATCTCATGTGAATTATCTTAGCAGCAGGATTAGCACAGCAGAGACTTCAGCACTGCTGGTCATCCTCTGTCTGTGTTTCTTCCTCTACTGGTTATGTCCTTGTGTGCAGTTGTGCAAAGCTGTTTTTCTAGAAGATCAAGCACAGGGTGACCATAGGCCGTGAGGCCACCTGCTGCTTAAAACAGGGCATTTAGTGGGTGCATAGATATTCATTGCTGCACGCTGTCTGGTGAAATTTCTACTCGAGGACAGGAGAACAGTGAGAATCCAGTTTGGGTTTGTTTTTGTTTTGTTTTCATTGGGATTGTTTTGCATGGAGTTATTCATTCTCAATTGCTTCTTTTTCTGGCAAATGCTTATCTGTTAAAAAACAAAACAATACTCAGCTGCTGCATGGTAACAGGTACTGATGGCATTTTTATAGTGTAAGGATGGATTTCTGGGGGTCTTGCAAACCGTCTCCTATCCATTAAGCCATGAAAAGAATTATTTTATCTAACCGCACTAAAAGCAAAACCTGGATGTGCGACTAGGCAACTTGAGCAGTAGGAGCATTTTCTTGGCTTAAAATGCTGCAGTCAAATTTTATGAAGGGAATAAGACTCCTTCCAGAGAGAGTAAAGGGCAAGTGAAGGTGATATAGTCCTCCTTTTGTGAGCTCTTTGGGTGTTATAGTTCCTTATTTAATGTTGTTTCTGTGGGTGGGTAGTGATGGAGGTGGTAACTTCTATTATTTGAAAGGCTTAAACAAGACCTGGGCTTTGGTTTTGGGATCAACTCTCATGAAGCAGCAAAAGAAAGTTGTTATGGTTGCACAATCCCGTGACTTCAGTGTAGTCCTACAATTACTGGTGTGGCTCTGAGAACTAATCTGTTTCCTTCACTCTTCTTCCCTTAAACGATGATCTAAGAATCTGTTTCTTCATTTTACAACTTCAGTGGCTCAGGGGAAAGCTGGAAAGCACAATGCCCAAAGGCTCAAACTGAACACGTTGACTGCTACTCTAATTTCACTCTTAGCAGGCCTTCCAGCAGTCACAAGATCAACTCGTGACTTGATCTTAGGCTAAACTATATATTGGAGGAGATGGGAGGTATTAATTATTGTGGGCAGCTAGCAGCAATTCTAAGTTTGAAATCTCGAAGAGTGTTTGTTTTTTGTTTTTTGTTTTAATGTATTTAAAATAGCTTCCTGGGATAGGAAGCAACCTGCTGTTGATGTGGTGATCATAGCTCTGTGACTCCTATTGCTGGGGTCAACAACAAGGGAAAACAAGCGGGTGGATGTTTAAATGTGTTTGAGTAGAATACTATAAATAGTAGTAGTAGTGAAATACAGTAAGTCACCAACCTGAAATTGTGCTGTGCAGGAGCAGCAGATGTCCACAGACAGCTTTTGAGTACATCCATGCAGTCTCCAATTGGGTAGCGAGTAGTGACTATTAGTAGTTCACATAGTGGAAAGGCAGGGGACTAAGTGTGGCCTTGAAAGCAAAACCACAGTATGAGCTGAGTGTTAATCTTAGCAAGTCTGACCTTCCTAGCTGCCTGGCCTTGAAAGCAAAAGCACAGTATGAGCTGAGTGTTAATCCAAGTCACTCTTAGCAAGTCTGACCTTCCTAGCTGCCTGTCTGGGCAGTGCCTCGCTGGTGACACTCTCCTGGGGTGCAATTCAGGTGACCTGGCTGTGGCCACAGTCAGTATTAGGAGTGTGTTGTTGTTGTTTTTGTTTTGGGGTTTTTGTTTTTTTTTTTGCCTTTATAAAATCCTCCTTCTGAAGGAGTCCATCCAGGTCCTGAACTCAAGTACAATGTGCTGCTTTCACCATGTGTGCCCAAACTCCTCCTGTTAGCTGGGCATCAAATATGAGAGTAGCACCGTGGCTAAAAGCCTAGCAGGGAAATAATAACATCACATTTTAGTATTTATTAAGTAGGATATTATTGAACAGAGATATTAATGCTGAAGTGGCAAAAAGTTTAGCTTGAACTGTAGGCTTAAGCAGAAAGATGTGCTTGGTAAAAGATTTTTGCAGTGGTCAGTCTTGAAGATGAAGTAGCATGTTCCCATGCTCTTCCTCCCTGTGCCTTTCTGCACACTCAGAGGATTGCTGTTTCAAATAAGTGTTCCACATTTGGCAAGCAAATGGCTAGCATTTTTTTGACTAACTTCTCTTAGTTTTCCAGTGTTACCTTTTTTCTCTGACATATGGGATATACTGAGGTGAAGGAGAACATGTGGAAAGGACAGCAGAATGTCAGCGTGCATTATTAGTGCTCACTGAGCACAAGCTATGAAGAGCAACCAATCCAACACATCCTCCAAAAAGCCAGAGAGAAGAGTTTTAAATATGAGCTTAAACTTGTAGGTAGGTAAATGATTGTAGGTACGATCTTCTTCATGTATGTGGGTCCTGACTCGCATGCTCTTTAGGACGTAGCACTACAGAGCACAGAATCATAGAATCATTATGGTTGAAAAGACCTTCAAGATCGAGTCCAACAGCACTGTAGCTGCATGGACTGTCTCAAGTCTCATGGAGTTTCACAGGCAGCATGAAAATGCTGTTAGAAATGCTGCAGAGCAGTCAAACGACATGACGAGTCTGCACTTGCCTCTTTGGAGTTTGGCTGCATGAAGAACACACGGTTCAATCAATCCACTTCCCCACTTGTGTGCCCCTCAACTTCTCTCCCAGAATGTCTGCTCCTTCTTTAGATGCTGTTGAGGTTGCTTCCACTAGCATAATTCTGCAGAGGATGAGGAGTTTCTGCTCTGTGAACTAGCAGAATCCACTTGAAAGCTCCTTCCCAAAAGATGGAAAGAGCTATTAGGTGTGCAGAAAAAGAATTTGCATGTGCTCTGCATTAATCTGTGGAAGATACTTGAAACAGTATTTTCTGGAAAAGTTCTTTGTACTAGCACAAAGAGGATCCCTTTGTTTTCCTATGTGAGGGAAATAGTTGGGTATAGTCAATGCATCCCTAACTTCCATGGAGACCTCTGTGCGTTGCTGAAAACTTCATCAGATTAATGCTCCAAATACCTGAAGCTGAGCAAATAAATAAGAATTATCTTGGCTTCCCTACTGCCAGTTATTCAGGCTTGTCCCTCAGATAGGGAGGTGTCCCTGCGTATGCAGGGGGGTTGGACTAGATGATCTCTAGAGGTCCCTTCCAACCCTAAGCATTCTATGATTCTATGATTCTATACCCTAGCCCCACTCCAAAGGCAGACCAGAAAGTTCCTGTCCCTACAGTTGCTGTGACCAGGCTTGTAGGGCATGGGTGTCTCCATTCCTAATGTGGGATCCAAGACCTTCCTCTGGAGTTTCCCATCAGGAAAACCCATGTCCTCTTTGTCAGACTCATGGCTAGTAGAACTTATATAGAGCTACCAGATGAGCCAATGTGCTGGACAATGTATTTTTTGTTACGTTCACAGTGATCTAGCCACTTTTATTAGGGTTTTGGATGCTGTTACAACTAGCTGGCCTATTTTTCTCTCCCTGGGTATCCCAACTTAGGTTTTTTGTGCTATTTTTATTTCCTAAATAAACTTTTAATGGGCATCTCTTTTACAATCTCTCTACATCATGAGTTTATTAAAACTTAACCTAAAATGCATGTTTGTTAAACTTTCTACGTTGTGTTTACACCAACAGACATATTAACGTTTCCATTTTTGTGTGCTCTTTGTACCCAAGCTTGCAAGGATTCAGCATCTTTGTTTTGCTGACAAGGGACATCTCCAGGGCCCTGTGGCAGCAGCACTGCTGCACTCTGCGCTGGATTTGCTGTCAGAATCTGTTAGTTGCTTTTAGGATTTCAGCTTAAAATGGTGCCTCCATTTCCACGCTGTGTGTGAAGCTGGGATTTTTGTGCCTTGGAACAACGCTGGCTGCTGAAACGCAGCATTGGAGGCTGCATGGCCTAGCAAGGGCAATTCCTTGAGCTCATGGTCTGCCGCTTGGCCAGACTAATAAAGTCCATTTGCGTAGCTAAAACTCGGTCCCTGAGGAGCCTGTCATTGCTTGAAGCACTATAGAAAACATGCTTTAAATGTGGGTGTTCTGCTAGCTGGAAATGTTTTCTGAAAGTGCTCGTGCTTCCTTCTTCAGATGTGGGAGCAAGCGGAAAAGGTGTTTTCGTTTTAAGCCTGTTGCAGCCTTAAGTACACTTACCTTCTGGTTTGTTTTTCTTAGTTAAAATAGTTCCTTCCAGGAGTGAATTGGGAAGGAAACCAAATCAGATTATTGCTATGATAACTGTTGATGTGCCAAGACGCCTCCAAGTTTCAAGCTGTGAGTAAATACCTTTCTTTTTCAGAGTGGAAGACCATAGAAGCTTATGGTTAATGACAGTATAAAAGTTGTTTTTAAGTATCTTCGTAGTAAGTGTTATTTGCACGTATGTTTCTTTGTATACGGCAATAGCTCAGTAAATTATAATCCTACTTTTTGGTTCTTAAACTCCTTGCAGATGTTGCTACAAGATTT